CAGAATAAGAAAGGGGCTTGGGGCTGAGAGTTTGATGCTGAGCCCACCGGGGCTAGAACGTGTTCAGGAGGGAGGCTGCCTCCGACCCCTCTGACTCCTTCTGGCTGGCCCCAGGACTTGCATTGCTGGGGCCCTGTCCAGACTGCCACGGCGGGTCGGAGAGAGGCCAGGAGAGGCGGCTTGTGGGGGCAGGCTAACGTGAAGCCGCTCCACTGCACGGTGCCATTGGAACCCGGCAGCCCCATTGTGAGCTCTCGTTCCGCTGCACTGCACACCCGGGAGAGCCAGTCGTCAGAGCTGTTCGCATTGTTCAAACCGCTCAGCTGGCCCGGCCCTTGTCAAGGCGCCGCCAGGGGCTGGTGCGTCCCAAAGAGCTCGGCTTTACTTCGTTAGCTCGCGGCAGCTCCTCTCACGCAGCGCGTCTGGCAGCTTTCCCAGCAGGAACACGACGTTCCCGGCCCGAGCCATGCCGGGAGGGGACACGGATACCTGGGTGCTGCATTGGCCAGGAGCGACAGGCTGATAGTCTGGGCAGCAGGTTTGAAAGGCCCAGGCTCCCTGGAGCCTGGCAGGGGAAATCCAGCCCTTCCTGCTGCTCGCGGAGGCAAAGGCGCTCGAGGCAACTTGTGTCCTAGAGTCACGGCCAGATTGGCCTTTAGTGGGCCCCGAGGAGGCACCTGCAGGGGGAGTCCCCAGAGCAAAGGGCCCGTCTGGAAAGCAGCAGCTGTCAGTGCAATTAGCCCTCCTGGCCCCGCCCTGCCAGCGCACGTCTTCCCCTTGGGGGAGGCCCACCCATCCCCACCCTCAGACGCTCCCATTGCCCCTCCCACTGCTCCACGCCCCACACAGACCCCGCTGCCCAGAGCCCAGTGCACACAGACCTCCCCCCCGCCCAGTGCCCCAGACACACACACCTTCCCCCTTCCACACTGTCCCAGTCTCTCACTGCCCTGAGCCCCTCCGACACCCACCCCCAGCTGCACCCCAGGCTCCCGCGCTGGGCTCAGCTGGCAATGCGGCCGGGGCTGGTCTCAGGGTGGGGCTTACAGACCCCGCTGCCCAGAGCCCAGTGCACACAGACCTCCCCCCCGCCCAGTGCCCCAGACACACACACCTTCCCCCTTCCACACTGTCCCAGTCTCTCACTGCCCTGAGCCCCTCCGACACCCACCCCCAGCTGCACCCCAGGCTCCCGCGCTGGGCTCAGCTGGCAATGCGGCCGGGGCTGGTCTCAGGGTGGGGCTTGCTCCAGCCCTTTCGGAGCAGTGACATCAGTCAGGTCACAACAGGACGGGGGCCTGTCCAGGCTGGGCTCTCTTAAGACCTATTTACCTGACACCCCCCCCCCACTACCCCCCTGATTCCCATTGGTCAGGACCAGCCTGCTTCTGCACCGGGCCCAGGTGACTAGGACCCAGGACGGAGGGGCCCCACAGGTGGCTGTCAGCAGAGACTACTTGGAGCTGGAGCCAGGCCAGGATTGCAGCAGACTCCTGGGATGTGACCCCCCCACCCATGGCCAGCAGCCCTGTCCAGCTCACATGGAGCCCAGCTGCTAGGTGGAAGGGCCCTGGGGTGGGAGGGTGTGGCTGGGAGCCACTCACACTGCCAGGCCCCTTTGTGGCGGGGGCCAAGCGCCGCGGCACCGCTGGTGCCTATAAACCCGGTACTGAGGGTCTGTGCCTGGCCTGGCTGCTGGATGGAGACATGACACTCGATCCCCCTCTCAAGGGGGGGCCCTGGGGACCCGCCCAGCAACACACGAACCAGCCCCACATTTGCCGGCTTTTGCCTCTGCAATCGGCTCCCGCAGGAAATGCCTCTGACGTGAGCCTGCCTGTCACATGCCTGGTGCGACGCATCTCGGGCCGAGGCGTCGTGCTAGCTGCCTGTTACCGCTGGAGCACCGGGGGCCAGAGGTTTCCTCTTACCCTGCATCTCCAACACCCCCGCGCAAGAGCAATGTCAGATGGATCATGAGACCGGCCCCCACTCAGGAGAGGGCAGGCCTGGGGGCATCATGGCCTGGGAGGGTCAGAACAGGGCCCTCCCTTCCTTCCTCTGCGGGGCACGGCTGCCTCCCTCCAGGCCAAGTATGGCTGCATGGAACAGAGCCTGAAGGGCGTGTCCGGCAACAGCCCTTTGGGGTCAAGGAGCTGTCGTGACTCAGCACAGGCAGGTGCCCGGGGGCTGCGGATACACAAACAATGAGAGGAGGCAGCACCCAAACGTAGGTTCAACATCCAGGTTCAGAAGCGTTCGACACTTCAGTAGCCGCTTGCCTTCCTCCGGCTCCGCTCTTGGGGTGGCTCTGGCAGCTCTCTGGCCAGCGTCAGACAGGAGCCCAGATGACATGACCACCCCGAGCCGCTGAATTCTCTGCCCAGCTCCTTGGCTGAACGACACTGGGCGGAAGGCGGCGGTGGGCCAGGCTGGCGGGGGGCTGCAAGGTGGTTGAACCAAGGCGCTCTCCCGGGCGAGGGCGGTTTTGCTCCCTGGGCGTGTCCCTAGGACCGTAGCAGTGCTGGGATGGGGGGCCCCGGCACACCCCCCCTGCCACGGGCCCCTACTTCACGGGTGTGTCACTTCTGTCATGCTGCCAGGAGAGAGACCTCTGCAGCCAAATCTGGCAACCCTGCCTGTCTCGCGGGTCACCCCCCGCCCCCACGGAGCCACATGCCTGCCCACTGCCGCCGTCAGAACAAGCATCCCTGCAAAGCTCTCGGACCAGGGCCTCGGCAAGCGAGCGCTCGTCCGCACGGCCAACGGGAACCGAGGCAGAGTCAGGGCCAGGTTCTCAGCTGGTGGAATTCAGTGACTGGCCCAGGTCACAGGTATCGCTGGGAACTGGACCCCGGTCTCACCTCCTTCTCCCCGGGACAGTGGTTTGACCACGGAGAGCCAGGCAGGACGGGCCAGTCGCAGCGTCACTCTCGCCTTGTCTAGCCATCGCTCAAATCATTCACGACGGCCTGATTCTCCGTTACACGAAGGCCCCTCCATGCCCCGCCTGCCGTGTGGACATTCCCGCCCATCAGGCCCCTTCGCACTGCCAGAGCGGCACAAGGGGCCTTGGTGTGACCGAGAATCAGGCCCGCG